CGACGTGCCATTCGCCAGCGGACGGACGGCTCAGAGCCCAGCCAGGCAGGCGCACAATGGTCACCGTGAAACCAGTCTGCCAGGACTCCGGATGCCGGTCATGTCAAAAAGGCACAGCTCAGGGCTCTGGGGCTCAGGGTCACAGTCACCACGCGTGAGACAAGAGCCACAGTGAGGGGCTTAGGCACACGCTCCCTCCTCTCTTCTCCTCCAACTGGTCTGAGTGAGTAAGACCTTCGCAATTTGGAAAAGGAAGGCGCCAACGACTTGGGGATTATTCTCAAGCACATAAACCCCACCGACGCTGGTTTGCGAACAGCCCCCAATGTGTCTGCATTCCTCTGTCAAAGGTAAGTGACATGAGAAGCATAAGCCACTGGGCCAGAGGGAACTGGGTTCCAGGAGTGCAAATCCGCACACATATAGACACACAGCTCACTTCGAGCAGCAGGCTCCCCCAGCAGATGAGCTATAAAACCCCACGTTTCATAAAAACACCAGAGCATTTACAGTGTGGGGGCTGGCCACAGAACTGTCTCTAACTGGCACCAGCCGTGACATTCTCCACCCTCGGCTCAGCACTCGCAGGGGACAAGGGTCTCTTGTACACCTGGGGTACGTGGACCGACAAACTACACACCCCAAGCCCTTTCACGTGGACTCAACCTCACGTCTGATGGCCTCTGGGAATCGAGGTGCAGAGCCCCTGCTTGGGCCCCCACGCACACCCGTCCCACCCTGTCCCACACCTGTCCCACAGCCGTTGCACACCTGCCCCCACCTGTTGTACGCCTGTCACACACCTGTACACGTCGTGCTTGGTGTCAAAGAGCCGGCTCTTCTCCCGGATGCGCTCTGGAGGGAGGTAGGCGATGGTGCCGAACAGGCCGTCCATGCTGAGGTCATGGGAGTGCGACAGCCCGTTGCACTTGGCCAGCCCAAAATCGGAAATCTGTAACACAGCAGGCAGACGAGGCTCAGTGGGCTTCGCTGGGGCCTCGCCGAGGGAGGCAAGAGGCTCTATCCCCACCTCTGTGGGGACGTGTGGCACGGTTCCCCGATGTGGCCGTGCAGGCACAGTGGGGAATCCACACCCAAGAGCCACGTCCTGTGCTCCTCCGGGGAGGACAGGAAGGCACGGCCGGCTTGGGAGAAACAAGCCCCAGCTGTTAGGGGCTTGACGGACAGGGACCAGATTCCGCTCTAAGGAAGGGATTCGCTGTCAGGCACGTTTTACCATCTTCGACAGCATCACGTCTGCCCCTGGGGACGGCCCAAGTCGGCCTAGAGGGGAAAGCGACTCTCAGAGTTGTCAGGTTTTCAGGTAACACACGAAAAGCAAGGCCTGGCCCTAAGGCCATCGGCTGTGCAAGGGCCCTGCTGGGGAAGCGGGCAGGATGCAGTCTGTTCCTTAAAGGGAAATGTGCCTTCAGAAGCCCTTTAAAATTTGTTTTTGTTGTTGTTAACGTTTATTTACTTTTGAGAGAGAGACAGAGCATGAGCAGGGGAGGGGCAGAGAGAGAGGGAGGCACAGAATCCGAAGCAGGCCCCAGGATCTGAGCTGTCAGCACAGAGCCTGGTGTGGGGCTCGAACCCATGAACTGTGAGATCGTGACCTGAGCCGAAGTTGGCCGCTTAACCGACTGAGCCATCCAGGCACCCCAAAAAGAATGTTTTAATGTTTATTTATTTTTGAAAGAGAGCTAGACAGTGTGCGAGTGGGTGAGGGGCAGAGAGAGAGGGAGACACAGACTCTGAGCTGTCAGCACAGAGCCCGATGCGGGGCTCGAACCCACGAGCTGTGAGGTCATGACCTGAGCCGAATGCTTCCCCAGGCATCCCCAGATGCCCTTTAGAGCAAACAAAACGCACACCACACAGCCTCGAGGGGGCATTCTGCCCTCTGCCTGGACCTGGAACAATTTGTGATCAATAGGTTCTCACTGGCTCCTTCACCAAATGCAAGGCCCCCAAATAAAAGGTGTGATATGGGGCGCCTGGGTGGCTCAGTCGGTGGAGCGTCCGACTTCGGCTCAGGTCTGGATCTCACAATTCATGGGTTCGAGCCCCGCGTCGGGCTCTGCGCTGACGGCTCAGAGCCTGGAGCCTGCTTCCGATTCTGGGTCTCCCTGTCTCTGTGCCCCTCCCCTGCTCACACTCTTTCTTAACTTCAAAAATAAATAAACATTGAACATTTTTTAGAAATATTTTTTAGGGGCGCCTGGGTGGCTCAGTCACTTGAGCGTCCGACTTTGGCTCAGGTCGTGACCTTGTGGTCCATGAGTTTGAGCCCCACGTCGGGCTCTGTGCTGACAGCTCGGAGCCTGGAGCCTGCTTCCAATTCTGTGTCTCCCTCTCTCTCCGCCCCTCCCCCGCTCATGCTCTGTCTCTGTCAAAAATAAACAAA